GTGCATCAAGCTCTTGGTTCCGCATCTATAGCGCTTTTCCTTTACAATTATTAGTTTATAAATAAAAAAACTATAAGGGTTTCTACGGGCTAGGACTCCTAGTGTAAAGGAAAAGCGCTTTCGGAGCGGAACCAGGATCTTGATGTATGTTTAACTTCTTTGTTCCAAGCTTCTTTGATGGTTGCCAAGGATCGACCATGTGATCATCCTGATAGATGCAAGTATCCGAAAGAAGACTCGGAAGCTAGCTGAGCACATCACCGTGACGGGCACGATTCAGGGACGAAGAGGTACAAAAGTGCCTCCCCGGGCAACCTAGACTTAGCAAGAATTAGTCTCTACAGAAAGAATACCATACGTTTCTCCCCCCCCACTGTTCAACTCGCCTGACTAGCCTGACAACTAGTATTTCTTTACACCTAGCCTCAGTCTTCTAAGATATTCCTAGATATTGTTAAACCAAACCAAAAATTGAGGTTTGGATATTTCCCGCAACTATGTAGAGATAGTATCGTAGATGCGAGACTCGACGAGTTGAAAAGTAGCATAGCCGCAGAAAGGAACGCCAATAGATTTGGCCCCACTGTGCATTTACCTCCCAGCTGGAGGCGAAACAACCAGGATCGGCCGCTATGTTGATAACGCCAGCCTTTCGTTGAGGGGACAACGGTCAAGATGCTGGGTGAACTGTGAAGGGACGAAGCCAGATTTGATTCAAGCTAGCTAAGCCGTTTGCGGTTATCTAAAAGCTTAAGGAGAAACGAAGAAGTTCACGGGGCCGTACGTAAACAAAAGGGTGTGTGGGGAGGGTCACGTGCATGCACGTGATATTAGCCGGGCACTGGCCCATTACACGGAGCTAAGTAGTGTATAGGAAATCGGCTAGGCCTTGACAAGTGCAGCGGTACTGGTGCATTGGCTGCACCAAGGCCTTAGTTCGGTGTAGTTGTACGTGGGGCCGACTGCACCAAGGGCGAGGTTCGGTGCAGCGGTACTTTGGCTGCAGTGCAGCTGCACCATAAACAATACAAACATTGCCTAATTCGGCTTATCCCGTGACTTATATATGTAATGTATGTAAATTACGGCATTATTGGTTACCAGATCGGCGGTATCAAGCCGAATAGGGTAATCTATTGGCAAAATCTGGCCTTGGCAGTACCTGGTTGCACCGCTAAGAGGTGCAACTGCACCATCGTTCGCTGCACCGGGCAATTGCACCAAATTTCTCAAGGTGCAGCTGCACTTGTCAAGGCCTAAAATCGGCTAAGCCTAGCCTTATACTAAGTCACTCCTAGAGACGGTGGCCTCCCCTACAGATTATAATATACACAAGTACGATAGTCAGCTGGGTGGCGGATAGCTATCGGAGGTAGCCCACTGAACTGCTTAGCGACCAGGCGTAGGAGTGACGTGATCTAAAGTGAGTTACCGCCATCGGCCTTTATGTGGATAATTATTATTCAATCATTGAAAAATATTCAGATGGTTTGTAGGAAGCTATGCTATTACTCCCAAGAAACACTAAGTATAGCTGGAGTCCAGCTATGAGTCAAAATTACTTGAAAGGGTTGCGGCCCTTCAAATGTTGGTCCAAAACTGTCATGCTCAAAATAGTTTAGTAGGAAAATACCTCGGAAGACATCCATGGATGCCAGCTCATACGTAATGGAGGGCACCTGACATTACTTGTAGGTAGCTGGAAGAAAGTCTAGGATACTTCAATACTGCACTTCATGCTTCATGATCTCAGACTACTAGTACCAGAATAGATCATGAACCACTGTCAAATTCGTCGGATCTATGCACCACATAGGGCTGGTGCTAAGCACACGAGAATAATAGTTGAGACCCACTATACAACTTCACCTCCCGCGAAGCCCTGGACTTTCCTATTCAGGTAGTGCGAATAACCTCAGGATTGTGACTTGTTGTCACCATTGTGCCAGAGATAGGCATACCTCGCAGACATTCAAAGGTGTCACCTTGGGACAAAACAACAACCGGTGCCCTCCAGGGCTGCCTACCTAGGTACCCGTGGACGAATTGAGACCTCACTAACCGCGATGGACCCCGTACGAGTAGATCAGCGCCGGAATGTTGTAGAGGCATGTTGATCAAGTCGACTCCGGTCCGGTGGGTTGATAAAAGTTGGATGTTGCATCCAAAACGTTTGTGGGCTTGATAGGTTGGAGCTGGAGAAATTTGGAATCTTCCAAAGTTATCCATGGATGTTATTGTTCCACGGTTAACACCTAAGACATTAGGCAATAATCCGTAATACTTCTTTATCACCTCCACGCCCTACTTTTCTCTCTGCTCAGCACTTGACTTTTACAACCCACTTGTTTATCAACTTCATCAGAGCGTTTTCATTTCTTCTAAATCTTGAATCTACTCAACCTTTCGTCTCCTTTCCCTCGTCGCAATGTCTCGCTCTAGGGACTTCGTCGTAACGACCCCCTCGGTATACTTCGATCACCTAGGCGGCACTGAAATCAAACTCGACCAGCCTTCCCTCTCGCCCCCTCATTCGTTCGTTCTTGACGAGAAAATATCCGAAGATTACCAAACGATGACCCAGGAGGAATATGAGCGACAACCGGGGCCTCCGTTTGCCGTCATTAAGTTCCCTTGTTACAGCCTTATAGACCCTACTCAGCAGGGCTTCATGCGGATCTATATGCAGATCCCTCTTGATGGTACCTTTTCTAGCGCTGTAGAAGTCCGAGCCCAGCAGGCTGTCAGCCAGCGCACCCACACGGAGCTCAAAGCGCTTGCATCTCTTGATCGCGAAAACTGCACGGCAGTACCGAAATTGCTTGGCTATGGGGAAGGGTTGCAAGGTACCGAAGAATTTGTGCCTGGTGGCTACATCAACTACGTTGCGTGGGAACGGGTGCCTGGTGAGCCCGTGGACTACTATACTTTCTGGAAACGCGACTTTGAATACCGCCAGCAACTGCGTTCCGCCTTTCGTACTGCCTATGAGTAAGATCATAACCCCTACACGTCCACACCTTCAAGAACTATCTATCAATTGATACTAATATAACGAAGAGAACTCAGTAGGTGTTCTTGGCAGCCTGGACTTACCCCTCCGAGCAAGCTCATCTACGATGATGTCACCAAGGTTATGTAGGTAGTTCCGACATTCCATTCACCTGACCAATCTATGAATGCCGATGGCGATGAGCTAATTACTTTTAGGCACATTTCCGGATTCCGAGGAGCCTATCCAATGGACACTGAGCCGTTCTCAGACGAGACCTACGTGTTATGGGGATTGGCGAAGCCATCTGACAGGCTGGATTGGTATATTGATAGCTCGGACTGGACCTGGTAACCAACGTGGATCTCCGTACATCGTTCCTTTCACAGTCGAATGGCCTTTCGCATATGGGATTATATTCTTGAGTTGTTCATGATGCCCAGCTACCCTAGTATTCATGTATCTGTCGCTGAACTAGTGCTTTCAATAAGACGATTGTAGTGCCTTTCCGCTACTGATAGCCCTTGATACTGTGGGAGATCAACGTACAACACCTTAGAATCATTCGGCATAAAGGATCAGATGACATTTCCGAAGCTACTCTTTGACAACGTAACATCGTCGTCCTGTAACTCGCAAGTTGCAAGACACCGGACTGTTGGTCATTCAGACCGAAGACATATATCAAGCAGGCAGGCAAATTCGGCAGTACGTATGGATAACCCAGGGTGCAGTCTGATTGTTGACGGGGTTAGCTGCACTCGCTAAGGTACACACGTACAACATGCACTGCTTCATCGATACATGAGGGAGGGCGAGATGAGTCCCTTGGGGGTTAGGGACTGTTGGGAAGTAGTACGATGACGAGGAGATAGGAGGTGAATACCATACTTCCCAATCCCCACTAGGGGACTGAAACTGTCGAAGGAAGATGGTGTGGTTGTAGGTACTGATAAACCCATACTCGCAACCGAGTGCCTGCATGTCCCGAACTGGCTGGGAAATCTTTTGTCGCAGGTCACGTAGACGGTGAACCGCCGAGTGGAGGTATGTTGAATGACCCAGGGCGTCTTCAGCTCCCCAACCAGCTTGATGGTAGTAATTCCAGCCATATCTTGCAGACCGACAACGTCGGGGATTTTGTCGTAGTTGCTCCCCGAGCTTTTGAAGTCGGCGAAGTAGAGGTTGATTGCCTTGGCCTCCAGGACCGCCCCAAATGCTTGGCCAATGGCCTGTTGGAAACGGCCCTGGAGGCCATGCTCATCCCCGGTATGTACCCGATCGGCTTCCGTGGAATGAGGGCCATTGGCATAAGGTGATGTCCTTGACCTCGCCCAATTTTGATTTGTGTGCGCATGCTCAACAGACCGTAGGAAATTGCTCCATGGGATAAGGGTCCCCTCGAAGCACAAAGGCTGAAGTGCACTTGAAACGGTATGGTAGGGCCCAATTTGGAGGGATGGAAGCGGACTTTCCACAATCTGCTTTGCTCGGATTGTGGATGTCATTCTGGGAACTAAGGATCTGAGGGATCTAATAAAGTGTTTCGTTAGTATAATTCTCTGAATGACATACGTATCAATGTTTATAGCAAAATGTGTCTTACTGTATTGTTCTGATGTGGGATTCGCGGCTTGAATAGGACGCATCCGAGGCTGATAGCAAGAGCAGAGCGCCAATTCGTCAATTAGACTTGGTGTATAAGATTTTTGACGTGGTTCTTGACTAGAAGGGGAACGTGGTTGGTGCTCGAAGAGAAAGGAAAGATTAGAGGGCTGCTGAGTCGCTTGTCGTATGAAATCTACCTAGTAGATAGCTATTGATACAGTTGAGAAAAGTGACACTGACTTGAATACAGTGGTTGCCTCACAAGAACATGATCTCTCGTAACATTGTTCTCAGCCACTGGCAAAGACCCTCACCTTGGCTACTCTCATTCATTTTATTTTGCCTTTCTGCCATTCTTCTTCTTCGAGCTCATCATCCACTTTTATTAAAATACCTATCATCACTATCATCAGCATTAACACCTGAAGACAAGGCATGTCTTCAGGAGAGTAGTAAGATATCCCACCCAGCTGTCACTTCTTCATCTAGGGCAAATACTGACGATCCTAATAGTGTAATGGATAAATCCATATCTCGGAAACGGCCCGTACCCGAGGGTGCGTGGTCAAAAAGAAGTGGGGTTATGAATTGGTAACCTGGCATGTCAACCATAGAGGTTGACGTAGTGGTCTTTTTGGTAGAGCGTTGGTATTTATTACTAAGGCTCTCCCGATTGATCTAGCTATCGTATTATGTGCCAGGTTCTTACTCTTTACACTTAATTTCTTAAAATTTCTTAATACTAGTAAAGAAATAGATAATAAAACTAATATTCAAACTAGAATAGTGTTAAATAATAGTAATTTATTAGGATAACTTAGCAGTTTTATACGTCTAAATTAGGAAAGGTCAACTTTTTTAATACAAATGAGGGCGGATGAGGGCCGAGGGTCGGGCGAGGGCAGGCCGCCGCCCGCCCTCAAAATGTTTTTAATGAGGTCTAATACTTACCACGTGTGGCATCATCCTCTCGGTGGGCTTCCGGTTGGAATCCAGTTTCTTACGTCTCGCGCGGCGCCGTTCCCTTGCTAAATCGCAAGTCTGGAGCTTTATACCCATAATCTAGGGTTGGGAAGGGACGTTTATACGCTGGGACGAAGCATGAAGAGAATAAAAGAGATAGTGAGCTGCAAGCCCTTCCGAAGTATTTGTGATTGACTACCCATGGGTGATTTCGCTGTATTTATAGCTCGACTGGATGTTAAGTACCTCATACAAACCATCCTGGCCATAGCAGGGATTGGGCGAAAGGCACAAGCTATGTAATTTCACACGTCATCATTTCTCAGAGGATAGTGAATAACTTCCTGGGGGCAGGGGCTATCAACAAAAAAAGGATGGTCAATGTTATGTGGATTTTTAGTTGCTGACGCTAGCATCACAGAATAGACGGCTAATAAATGATCCACATGTCACGTGGTTAATTTGTTCTATTTCTGCCTTTATTTTCAGGCTGTAGAGTGAGCACTCAGGTCGTGCTCACTGAGCATAACCTGAGCATTATTTTGACATTACTAAGCATACCTTGAGTACACTGAGTAATCACCCTGTGCTGTGAAATACTCAGTGAGCATGATCCTGAGCCCCCTCATAAAGCGGCGGCACCCCGATCGGGAAATGCGCATCCGCGGCCTAGAAATATAGAGGAACATACATATCGTAGATCGATGTAGATCAGGGCTCGGACAATCCTTCGAGTCCACACGTCATCACCGAAAAACGGGTCTGCGCTTGTTCGAATGCGGAATCTTCACTCCACTCAGATCTTTCACTAGCGCCCATGAAGTTTTAAGTGGCTTCGGGACAACCGATCTTCCCCATAAAAATCCCAAAATGCCCCAAGCGATGATGCAATGGCTTTCCAATCGACGTCACGAGGATGAAAGAAGCTTTCCGGACTTCCATTCCATATCCACACATAGTTTTGTTCTCTGCGAATCCTCTTTTCTCCTCCATGACTTCTGTTTTATCTGAATTTGTTGCAGTTCCTGAACTATGGCAACTGTGCAAATGACTCGTCAGTCCCGGCTAGCAGACGATGGTAAGACGATCGCGCATCTGGTAATCTCCAGCGCTCGGGTCGCTAATCTCACGTGAAATAGCCGCGACGGCTGCCCTATATGTGACGCACCCTGAACGTAGGGCATCTCTCTGCGCCCCAACCGCAACCAATACCCAGCATTTCAGTGAGTATCCATCCCTCGATACGATTGGCGAATACAAGCTGACAATGCGCCTTGCGGTAGACCCACGCGTGGTCGGTGGTACTCCAAACCTCAGCCACGCCTCCGCTGCCTCGGCTCTCGCACACGCGAATCGCAAACCTGTCGAAGTATGGCGGCCCCCGGTTAGACAGCCTGCTGCCGAGAAGGCCGCATTATGCGTGAAGGATTACACTGCGCCCCAGCAACCCCAACCCGCCATCCAGCACAGTGCAGAGGGACTAGGAGCTGCAATGCTCGCTGTTCGTGAACAGAGAGCCTCGGAGACCCCTACATCCGCTGCCTACAGACGTGGCAGTTCAGCAACAGATCGCTACCACCATACAGCCGTCGGTGGCGACCCGAAGGACAAGGCGCTCAAGGCCGCGTCGGGCGCTTACACGCTCTCGCGTAAGAGAGCCGACTCGGCGCCCAGTGACCCAGGGGTTACTTCCGAATTACCATACGGCCGTCCAGCCGCTGCTGCATCGCGACATGTCCGCGTGGAGGAGGAGGGCACCCTGGACCACTTAGACCCTGCTATAGAAGCAAGCCGGATCCAACATGCGGCTAACACTAACCCGAAGCTGTATACTTCATCGCCACCTGTCCAAAGCGAAATCGAGGAACAAAACTACAGGAACTCGCAACGCGCTGCTGCCATCTCAATGGCAAAGGACATGTACAGAGTCACCAGCACCAAGAAAGAATCCGGGCAATCCCCCGCCCTCATAGCAGCCCAAAAAGGACAGAGTCAACTGGGCTACCGCAAGACCGTATCCACGGCGGATGGCGCTGCCGTCCGGCGTGCGATTGCCCTACAAGAAGCAGCACAAAAGCGAGCTGCCGAGAAGCTGGCGCTTATGCAGGATGAGCATGCTGACTACCAGCGATATTATGGCACTGCACCTCAACCACAAAGGTCACGCTTAACCACCCGCCGCAAGAGGACTTCGAGCGATGCAGATGCCTCTCAGATTGACGCGGAGCAGTCGCGGCAAATCCGGAGCCAGATGACCAGCCTGCGGACCAAGTTGGACCAAGTAGATGAGCGAAAGACAAAGGATCGTGAATTGCTTATGCAGGCTGCCCGCCGCAATGTGGACCAAACCCTCCAGGACATGGAGGCGCAAGTTTACGCGAACACCGGTCGCGCTCCGCCTTCCGTGCAGAAAGGGTGGGATGAAATTGCCCAGGAACGCGTGCGACGGGAGGCAGAGGATTTTGAAGCCGCCACCACCCGAGGGGATCGAGTGAACATCGGCGGCCAAAAATATATGGACATGGCCGACATCGATGCTGTTGCTCGGTCTCGCCTTCAGCCTGCTCTCGACGAAATTACCGAGAATGCCGAGCTACGGAGAGCCCATGATATCGAAGCCCGTCTGGACGCTGAGGAGGAGCAGAGACATGCTGCTGTGGAGCGTCAACGCGAAGCTGAGGTGAAGGAATTGGAGAAGCAAGAAAAAGGTTAGTTAACCTATCTTTCCGTCTTTCAATATATCTTCTGACCCATCAATTAGGTGCGAGCAAGTGCGACAAATCCGAGGGCAAGATTCCAAAATTCTTCTTGTGGAGGAAGAAGGGCAAACGAGCTCGGGTTGAGAAATCCGAGACCGAAGAGGCTCAACCTGTCTCACCTGTCTCCCAGGGAGCTGTAGTAGAGCCGGCTCCGACTACAGCCCCGGACAGCAATATCTCGACCGTGACCATCCCCGAGCAAGCTTCTATTGAGACAGAGGACAATGTTTCGAGGATCACCATCCCCGAGGAAACTTCTATTGTGACAGAAACACCCGGTCCCGCGACCGTTATTGCAGCCGTCTCCTCGGTCCCGGAGACTCAACCTTCAAAGCCGGACGAGAACGACGTGCCCGCGGCAATCCCACGGCGGCCGACACGAAGCCAGACCGAGCCCTCTCAGGTCGAGCAGCGAGATGCAGCTGCCTCAGGCCCAACAATCGTGCACTACTTTACGCCACCAGTCACAAGCCCGCGCGCCGATACTAAGCTCAAGAACTGGTTCCGCGACCGTCTCGTTCGCCGCTCCAGTGGCCCAGTCCCCATCTACCCGCACCAGCCAGGCCCGGACGTTAACACAGACAAGGAACCCGCCTTTCAAGGCGGCGCCACTCTAACCGGCCGCGACGAGCCCCGCCGTGCAGCACTTGGCTCACACCCCCCTGGCGTGGGTGAACCTGTCGCGACCCACAACAGGTCTTCGAGCTACTACAGCAACGACCTTGATGTGACCAAGATTGACAGTGCCGACTCTTTGCCAAACTCTACCAAGCAAAATGGCAACGGCAAGAAGAGGAACCGTCTGAGCAGGACGCTCCTCAGAGCCGTCTCCCGTAGCCCCGATCAGTCGAACGATGATGACTCCCGTCATGACTCGGGGGTTCAATCTTCGTCTAAGGATGTCGGCGGTGATGAGAGTCTGAAAAATGAAGATGGTACTGTTGGGCAGAGTCTTCCTGTGCCACCTACTATTGCCGAGACGGTGAACGGGAGAAGAGAATCCCGATTCTCCGAAAATCTGTGATTCTCCTATTGAATGTTGACGTGTACGTCTATTTGAAACCTTGACTTGAGGTACGATTTAGTTGTTTTGGATCTTACGGGGGGATCTATTGGTGTTTTTGAAACTTGAAATCGGGTGAATCTGGAGGATATTAGGGTGGGATTGTTTTGCTAGTAATTTTCGGTGCTTCGTATATAATTGATCTAATTAACTATGTCTCTTATGAAACCCTAGCAATGTCATTGGTGTGAAAGTGTGGCAACGCCATCCTGGGCGGGGGATTTTGGTGGAATATTGTAGTTTTACATCTTTGGAGACAGTGCGACCTTCCTTGAGCAAGAGTATTCCTAGGGTGAAGTGTTAGGTAGAAATAGTCAATACTTCGTAGGACTTCACATCTTACATCTACATGCATATAGACAGGATAATGTCTGACAAGTCTTGGCTTTCCCTTTCCGCACTACGCTAGCCCCATCCTAATGCTGTCTTGGACCAAGACTCTTGACCGTTATCCCCTCAACGAAGGGATGGCTGGCGGTCGATCCTGGTTGATTCGCCTCTAGCTGCACAGCGGGGACACATTCGTTGGCATTAATATTCTGCGGCTACGCCATTATTCAACTCGTCGAGTTTCGCATTTATGTTACCGTCTCTACATTGTTGCGGAAAATATCCCGATCTCAATTTTTGGTTTTACGATACCTAGTAATATCTTAGAAACTCCTAACTGAATGATTCGTAAATCCCGTCTGTTGATTTATTCTAGGTCTTTTCTCGCCTGGTCTTTGATAATACTTGCCGCTTGCTCCTAGGAATACGACTTCAATTCCGGATCTAGACATCTGCAAAATGGTCCTAGACCTATCGTATGTCTATTGGATTATTTAGCTTCCTATAGTGGCATTCGCGGCCCCTCATTTGCCTACCCATATAATACCTCATACTAAGTAGATGAAGCCTGATAGGTATTCCTAGGAGCCTCCAGACTTGCCTGTCGCCACAAAGTGATTACTGAGACGGAAATAGTTACTAGGAGCGAAATCGCTTATCTCCATCCCCGAGAAATGCAATTACTAATAGATCCAATGGATATAAAAGGACACTGGTCCCTCCTCTTAAAGCGAGAATATCCAAAGTTCAAACATTTCTTATCGAGATCTCATAAGGACTACTTATAATTTTGCCAATCTTCACTATTCTAGGTCTGTCTTTTTCTAGCTCTTTAGTTAGAGTGGAAGCCTAACTTAAAACTATTGTACAGATTATCTTATGCCGCAAAGGGAACCGACAACCTGGTCAGTATCGGTGGAAATTCCTTTGATCCACTGAGTCGTGAGGCTATTTCCTATATATGCTTGAGCTCTAGGTACGTGATATTTGATTAGGGCCCAAATCGGAAAATATACCTGACTCCCGTTTTCGTACGAGAGGAAGCGTGATTTCGCCCTATGGCTGACTGAATTCGATAGCATAAACTAAGGTCTAGGAGGGAATAGCGGTGCAAACAGACCCAGTCACGTGGCTAGCACGTGATGTCCACGGGCCCTGGCCCGTTACAATGCCTTGGCGATGGTAGGCAGTGGGCCTGACAGAAAGTTTACGCTCAACATGGGCCAAATGGGCAGGGGGTACCCGCCTATCTGCCAGTTCTACCAGTGGCCATTCGCCCAACTATTAAACCAGGTGCTATTCAAAGATAGACATGGTCTTGAATCACAAGGAACCGCGCTTCATCCATCGAGAGTGAACGTAGCTCTTGCTGCGCGCTTGATAAGTAGCCTGATTACCATTGCTATAACCGAGATCAAATGCCCAGACAGCCTGGAAGCAATGCGTATCCACCTGGGCTTTCTGGTTGTTGGCCTGAGCGTTGTACGAGCTGTTGGCTGGGAAAAGACCGATGATGTTGTAGAAGTAGGCCTTGTGAGGTGTCAGCATCGTATTGGCAATCTACTCAGGCCGTAGCAAAGAATTAATTAAGAAACTCACGTCAACGGCACTTTGCAAGATGCGAATTTCAGAGGGAACTCTGTTCTTGGTTGTTTGGTTGATGGATTTCAGCTGGGCTGCGCTGCCCGACAAGGCGTCCATGAGCTCGAGGAGGGATTGTATGAACTAGCGTCATTAAGTATAAATGACTCTGATTGACTTATTTTTCGTCGGAAACCTACATTTGAGTATCCCTCATAGACGTCCTGCTCCTCCGCCTGATCAGTAATGATCGGCGTGTTCACCATAAATTTTACATCTGTTAGAACCACAGCGACCATCGTGTCTATCTCAGTGTAGATATGCTGAATTTTATTATGAGCTGTCATTCATGGACCTTAAAAACACCCCACTTACCGGAATTGGACCAGCGTCCGCAGTGGAATTGATTTCCAATACGAGTTCCTTAGCAGCGAATCCTTGCTGTGCTAGTTCATTGAGAGAGTTGGCAATTTCACCCGAGGTTAAAGCAGCGACCGCCCAGCGCGTGCCAAAGCAGAGGGCCACGACGAACGAGAAAAAAATGTGATGCATTGGATGAGAACGAGAGACTGGTAAATGCACGGCAGAAATAGAGTAAGAGAATGGAATAAAAGAATGTATGAGTGTTGTAGTATCTTGAAAAGAGTGGCAAGAATAACAACTCGAGCAGATGCAATTTGCAAAGAAAATAAGGACCATCATGATAATATATATACCTTGTTACTGATAAGAGGCTCGGAACAATCAGTTCCCCTGACTAGGCCTAAAACAGACCCTTGACACAATTATAGTTATTAATTAGGCTAGACCCTGTCGCCCTAGTCCTATATTGGCGTAGGCTGTACAGTTCCATATTGTTAATTCTCGCGCGATCGGGACGCGCCGCCCCGCTTGACAGAAAATTAAATCGAATGGGAAACGTTGCTCAATGAAGTCCAAACAAGGGAAACGGCTTCAAGGTAGAGACTAATGAATTTGATTTGGGACTGGAAGCATCGCTGCCTATTCAGAATCACATGAACATGAACATTAAGTTTGGACACCTATAGAACTTGTAAACCAGTAGTCTTTTTATACACTAACTTATATACAAATCCAAAACATGGGGCGACCCCTTCACAAAGTCTATCTCGCCCCAGCAGATGCAACCCACTATACTATAATTAATCCTTCAATCACAATACCTACGTCACACAATGTTGAGTGGATGTAAAACAGGAGAAAAAAAAAGAGAGAAAACACTAGTCAAGGTCGGAACAGCGATCAAGGTTTCGCGAGTTGTTCCTTGCGATAGAAGAAGATGCAGAGCACGTTGATGGATAGCATGAAGAGCAGGCAGACCCAGAAGTCTGCCTTTCCCAAGCCGGCTGCGACGCCAGCGGAGAAATCAGGGAAAACATCACCAGGGCCTAACTTATTCGGTGCTGTCGCGCGGGCGAGAATAGTCGCAATAGAACCGACCACCTGCGCGGCTAGAAGTGTGAAGGTGACATGGAATCGAGTCATTGTGTTGAGGAGGATCATTCCAAACCCTGTATTGGCGTGAATCAGTTTGTGTTACGTTTTATTCGCAGCGGGAGGGAATTTACCGACACCCTGAAGGGAATCCAAAACTCCTAGCCAGAGCCATAGTGCTCTACCAAGGATAGCTCCAGCTACGGGACCACCGGCCCAGGGGATGTACGTGGCTATGTTGGAGGTTCCCCACAGGATCTGGGCCCATCGAGGAGCACCAAGACCGACGGCAAAGATCGGGATGAACCAGGCGTGTCTCTTGGAAAAGACGTGAAAAACCCAGAGAGCTGCCGCCCAGACGACGATGAAAAAGAGAAGGACAAGGAGCACGATTTGCCACACGTGTGCATGCTTGCTGGACCAGAGATAGAGCCAGTTTCGTCCGTAAGGTGCCGACAGCCAGTAGTTTGATATGAACACCATGTAGAAAAACCACTGCAAAATACAGCGTCAGAATCAAAATTAGCTTGAGGGAGAACTGGAAGAGACATACAAGAATTATGCGACGGCGGAAGAGCGATAGGTAGAATGTCGGCACTTGACCTGGTGCTTGTCTATAATATGCAGGAAGTCCAAAGAAGACCAGGGCCCCCAACAACCACAGAAGAGAGGCAAGTCCGAGTCCGATCCCGAGCAAAGCGCCTGGATCGGTCATGGTAAGGCTGAATTGCGTGCTACCCTTTCGATTGAGAGATGCCATCCAGCTACCCCAGTACCAAAGGAAACTGATGAACAACTGCTGAGTGCCCTGGATGACGGTGGCTCGATAAATCCAAGACCTCAGAGGCGCTCCACCTAGACACGAAAGTCAGATAACTTTCATACTTCCTAAAAGTATTGTTGCATACCTTCATCTCCAAAGTTAAGGGCAAAGAAAATCGAACCACTCGAAGATGCAAACGAATACAAGCCGGTTCCTACGTTTTGTACCCATGCTCGACTTGTGCTGTTGTGGATGGGACCGGCAAGACCGACAAACAGAAAGGCAAACCCGTATATCTGCGGGTAGTTAGCTTGCAACCTCGTAAGCCAGATAGAGGAACGTGAACGTACAAAGAAAGGTATCGCCAAAACATAGACTGAGGGGACTAGACGGAAGACCATCCACCATACGATCGAAGAGGCAAGATAGATGGATGCCAGAATGTATAGCTTTTCGGCCGTCTCTCCAACCTCACCGTTCAGGAGTGTGATCTGGTACGAGTTCAAGGCGAGAATTTGGCCCTAAAAGAATGCTGTTAACCTCTGTAATGAAAGTTTTTGGTAGGGTTCCAACTCACGATAGCAAGGAAGATGGAGTACACAGGCCAATCACCCAGCTTCATCAACATGAAACGCTTCAAACCCGTGGGGGGAACATAGTCATTCGGGAGAAGGAATTGCCCGGCATTTGGATCTGCGCCTGGACCAATAATTGGCGGGCTCTCTGGTGGACCGGTCTCACGAACCTTGATGCGAAAGACAGAGGGAGCAGGAGACGGCAAGGGGGACTTGCCCAGTTTGACGTCGCGGTATCGATTGAACCAGTCTTTTTGGCTCTTCTCGAGAAACTCTTCGATGCAGAGCTGGTCTTCGGAGTTCTTGCCATTCAGATCCGCAAGCTTCTTCTCAAACTTATCCGCATACTCGTTATTCCCATCTGTGAAAAATGGATCGACTTTCTGGAGGTTGTAGTCTTGTTTCTCCTTTATTATACCATCGACGCTGACCAGACTCATCATGGACGCCCTTGCGTCTCTTCGGCCCAGCAGACCGTCTTCTGATCGTGCACCGAGAACTGGTGTGCTGGCACCAGATCGAGCAAAATAAACAGTAGGTGTCCCAAGTGGCGATGGACGAACACTGCCGTCCTCTTGGATGGCCCCGGAAATGGGGTCGACATCTTCTCCATCGCTTACCGCAGAGTAAACAATTCGCGAATCTGCGGGAGGGCCGGAGGACAAGGGTCTGCGTCTTGGATCGGTGTCAGAATCGGGCTCGTTGTCGGACATGTTGAGATTGGAAGACAGATTTGTCGGCGAGAGAACGTGGTCAAAACCTGGTCGAGGTACAGACAGTCTCATATCAGACGTAATCGGCCTGCTCGGCGGGACAGACACGGTGGAGCTGCGTGATCGGCTCTGTTCGCGGCTGTTGTTTGCGCTCGACGAGACTTTGCGAATGCTTTCCGGGACAACGGTGCTGCCATAGGAAATCCTCCATGAACTGTGATCGTGGCGCTTAGAGTACTTGGCGTGCTTTTCGATTGAGGTGGCTTGTAGGATTTCCAGATCCTCAACCCACTGTGCTACGGGGAAGCGCTGCTTGCTGGATCGTGCACGCATGAGCGCTCGTGTCTCCTGGGACGATTTCAGAGCGTCGTTAATGGCCATCTTGAACTGTTGGATAAGATGTTTGGTTGTCATAGACTCGCTAGAATGGGTTAGTCTGAACATATCGTGAGAGAAGGAAACTCACATTGTGAACCACCATCCTGGCATCTGCCCAAGGCCACCAACACTAAAGAAATATAGGTTAGCACTGGTGGTAGACTCAAGCCAGGTCAGTCTAACCGTGATCCTACGCCCAACGCTCCTTTCCGTCCGAATTCCACGGCCACCAGACCGAACGGTTCATCACGCGAAGGAATCAAGGCGAATTCAGCACCACTGAAAATGAAGGGCGGTAGTGCAGTGAACTCTGGTTTGGAATAGACCCGCCCAGGGTAGAGCTCTATGAGTCGATTCAGTTTCAACGCGGCAAACCTTCCATGGAGATCAATGACTGGACCAATGCACATCAACTGGACCTTTGGGTGAGCGTCTAGAATGGAGGGGAAGATGTCTGCAATCAGATCAACGCCCTTTTGCATGGACCAACGACCGACAAACACAAACAGCTGGGCCTCTGGGTCAACTTTGAGCCCTGCCCATTCTTGCGCTTGTCTCTTGAGTGTGGGACGACTGGCTTCAAACTCTGCATCGATGATAACGTCTTCGAGATTGTTGTTTGCGTTGTGATCCCACTCGGCGATGTCAGATGGATCGGGGTTTGGCAGCGCTTCAATGTTCTTGAGACCCCAGAAAATAGGATATCTGGCGTACGATCTCTTGCCATATTTCTTGGAGACACCGACAGCGCCGAATCCGTTTTGGTGAATTTTCAGATAGTTGGCAGCACCATGAAGAAGGTTAAACACTTCGCCGAATTGTACATACTTCTTCACCAATGCATGGTCAAGGTTATAGACACTGCAAACCTCTTGACTTTGCTGTGGAGTTTTCATTGGCCAGAGTCCTTGGAATTCAGCATTATGCAGAGACAGGCAGCATGGAATCGTGCGAGGTAGAAGATAGAGAGGGGCAGCGGCGCCATGGTAATCATTGATGTGATAGAGGTCGATAGCCGGAAATCTCCTGATAGCTTCAGCAATACATTGATTCCAACTAGAATAGAATATAGCCGAATTCAGGTCATCCATGCGGGCAGGGTACGGCTCTGATTTGGACTGAGCTCGGAACACAGGCGCGTCTAACAAGACGTACGTGATGTTTTGCAGCCGATGATACTGGACATCCACTTGGTACTTATTCCCAAGGACGGTGATCACCATCGGCTCACGGGGATCGTCCTTGGGGTAGTCAATGCCTCCAACACAAGGGACCACCCATATGAGATCCTGCTGGGTCAGATGTTTCCCCACCAGCTGGGCCATCACACCGAGCCCACCGATTTTGATCTTAATGCCCCAATCTTCAATATCGTATTCCATTGTTGCAATGAGCACGGTTCGTCGGCGGGTGTTTACCGTGGCACCGACGACGCCTCCACTCTCAGATGGGAGCGGGCCCACATTGGTTAGAGCAAGTCCGGGATTGGATTCCCTGTCATTAGATCGATGGGCCACCTTTTGAAAGACGCTCACCAGTGGAGCGAAGCTTGATCTTTTCTCGGTGACACCGATTTGGTTGAATTTGACCTGGTAAAATGCCTTCAGGTAAACATACACCGCACCGACAGCGGTGGCGACAGGCACAATCGCTAGCACGATAAAGATG